ACAGCTGAGGGAGTCAGGATTTCACCTCAAAACTGCTATATACCATCTGTTATTACTAGAGAAAGACTATGACATCACAAAATAGTAACTTTAAATTGCAGTTCTACAAATGAGGCTGTACTCTTGAAATTCAGCAGGAGTAAAGGGTACTCAAAGCATCAGTCTGGCTGCAAGTTCAGGGCTGTGATACTGACTTGGAAGCTTCATTTACATGCTATTTTTAGTCACTCAGAAATTGCTAAATCTGTTAGTAGTGTTTATGCTGTGTGGTACCTTGCTAGAATCTCCCTCTTTTCTGGTGGATACTATAAGTTGGCATGTACAGCCTTTTGCTCAAATTAAGAACCTTTGGTTTTGCACAAAAGAAGTAACTAAGTAAAAACATACTTAATATGTAAGTATGCATCTAAGCAAGTGTGTTAAGGGACAGCTGGAGTTTTTTTACACTGTTTCTTTGTATTGCTGATTTGTAAATTTGAGAAGAAAAATATGCAGACATTTTTTTCTCCTGTGTTTCCTGAAAGTCTTCTCTAGTGGGATTCTACTGTCCTTTCCATAAACTTAACAGAATCAGTGATACACTTCCCACAGATCTTGCCCCAGGATTTTGGATCAGAACACAGGCTTCACTAACAGGGATGGTCCATTCAACCTTCAAATTTAATGCTTTGGCAGAAGTACCTGGTGAGAAATTTTATAAGAATGCTGAAAGGTTGAGTGTGTGCCTTGGTCTAAAATCAGGCCTACAGGAACTATCTCATAGAGTAACTATAGAGATTTGCTGGAAGATCCTGTTGAAATATTCTGGGCTCTTCAGTAGGTCCTTTAGAATAAAATGTTGGATATAAGCATTAAAAGCCAATAGAAAATATTCAAATTTGAGATTACTGTAAGCTTTGCCTTTTTGGATTTCTCAAAAATCTTCCGCATTGCCTCAAAATAAGAAAGAAGGGTGGGAAAGGGGAAATAGCATGGAATGAGTAGGATAAAGTGACTAAGGACATGCTCTAAGGCCCACTCAAGCCAATGACTGTTTGCAGGAGAGGATTTGGTTCATATTCTGGATTTTCCACCCAGAATCTGCACAGAAGACAAAGGGATGATTGTACTACCAACTTGCAGAGAAGAGTCTGCTTTGCGTGACCTCACTCAAGCACACACTGAACAAGGGGGACTTAGGGTACTCTTAGCACATGGCAGCTCCTGCTCCCAGCCTGCTCCTGACACACAGAGGGTCTTTTAGCTTGACTATTTTCAGGAAAGGATGAAGCACTCATGTACACAGAGACATACATATATGCATTTTTACATAAACAGATAAATGATCCCATTTTGTGGGGTTTTTTTGCCTCCAGTATTTCAGTTTCTGAGCTCTATCTGTTCTATCCACTCTTTTGCGATGCTTTGAAACCTAGTAACAGTCCTGTTTGGTGAAACTGAAGATCAGCATCTGATTAGATCAGAACTATGCAGTACATTATCTGAAGATGGCCTTCTGACCTCTTAAAATTCACTCTGTGGTATTATACTTTCATAGCAAACATTAGAAAAAGAAAAGTACTGGTACTTCTACATGCATATAGACATAATATATATTTAAGCATACATGTATTCACATGCATACACAGAGGAAGGATGAGAGAGACTGAAGTGAGGTCCAATTACCTTTTAAACTAATGCCCCTTTACATCTTTCTGGCACTGTTAAGAGTCCTTAAAAAGGGAAGATATGTAATTTACATTCATTTTAAGGCCATCTCTGTACTGATGAGAAGTGTAAAGGGGCCTTAGAGAAATAGAATCAGCCCAACAGTTCCCACTGTCACACTTCCTCTTCCTGTTCTACAGATATTTGCATTACAAATGGAATGCCTTAATTACAGGTTGAATTGTAAATAAAACATCACTACAAATATTAAGCTGTAGAAAAACAGTGGCTGGTATATTGGAACAAGACCTTAAGGGTATCTTTTGATACAGCCAGACTGTGAGTGAGACTCACACCAAGCCACTGCTTCTTCCACAGCAGGGCTCAGTGGATTTAGTGCTCAAGTAATTATCTCCAATTATAAACAGCAGAGCTGTTCTGACATTTTTTCCACTGCTCCACAGTGCACAGAAGGACAGGCAGCTGAAGAAGCACCTTCTGCCTATGTACACTCCCTAACGTAAGAAAGCTCCATTGTGTTTGGGGATGCCAGTCTCAATTCAAGAAAAAAAGATTGGAGAAAAAAAGGAGAAATAATAGGAAAAGAAAAGATAGCTTAATCAGCAATTCCTACCTCATACATACCTGACTTAACAGAAATTATAGCCTTTCATGTAACATACATGCTTATGAATCCTAACGGAAGCCTATCTTGTCAGACTGTAGGCTCACATGGGCCAGCATCCTCTCCCCAGCTGTGAGCTGGCTGCCTAGGGAGTGTAAAAGTGAAGATTTCTCAAAACTCTAACCTCTCTAGACCTCAACTTGTGGCTCAAGGACTTCCAGCACCAAAGCTTAAAAGCTCATGATTGATCTGCTTTCCAAGAAGAGTAACTTTTGAGGATATGTATACTTTTAGAAACATTACCCCCTGCTCAAAGCTTCATCACATTGTGAGTGAAATGTCTTTGTGTTTTGAACCTGTTACTTGCTGTTTCCACTTCAGGTCCCCTAATTCTTGTACAGGGAGGAATGACAGTGCTTTCCTCCTCACCTCACAAGATGCTCTGCTTCTGAAGATAATCCTGCAATAGATCATGGGAATGTGCTGCATTTAACAGGACACCTGCGACACTGAATATGCTACAGCAGATAGAGCAAGAGTTGTTTTCCAGATAATCCTGTTCTTAGGGTCTCATAACTTCAAAGCTGAAACTTGCCTGCTATGTTCTACAATAAAAGGACATAGTCAAATCTAGAGGGGAGTTTAAATCAAGGGCAACTAATACAAATGTCTTCTCATAAGTGACTACTCTGAAGTTTTCTGAAGTTGGATTTTTTCCTCTTTCAGATTGTTTTCATAGAAGGGATAGAAGGCTATTAACTTTTTGGTCCCTCTTGGAAAATTAGGAATCACATATTGCTGTATGTCTAACTCGTTCTTTTCCAATATCTTTAAATATATACATATATATGATTTATAAATGGAGGAATGAGTTACATTTCTTTTTCAGACACAAGCCATACCATATACCATATTGCATTCTACTTGTCCTGAATAAGAAACAGGCTTGAACAGTTAGTCATTTCCAGTGTCTGTCAACCAGATATAAGTTCAGTAAAATGTGCTGGTTTAAACTTTAGGGACTGCCATTTACAGCAAGAACTTGCATTTGCTCTGCACTGCTCCCAAGGAACTTGTTATCTGAATAAATCTGTTTATTAAGGATTTATAGAGCTCTGGAAAATACAGCAAGGAGTCTGTGACTGCATTCATGCTCTTTGAACCCACACAACATATTGTGAATTCAGTACAATTTTAACCTGCATTCTCAAAGTGTTATAAAGGTGTGTATTGCTGTCTTTCTTTTAATGTCTCATTCACCTTTTCTCTTCCTATTCTACCCTCTACTCTGTCTCTTGTATCTTGATGTCTCCAAGGGCGAGGCTCTTAGTGGCCTTTTATCACGTTGAGTTCACTTGATTGTCTAAAAGGCTCTTGCAGAGGATTTTCTTCCTCCATGTGCTTTTGCTCTGCTGGTGCACTTTTCCTCCCTCTTTCTCATTCTCTCTCTTGCTCTTCCTCACCTCCTCATCTTTCCCAGTTAAGCCCCACTTCTTTCAGAAGACAATGAGATGGTAAAATAAAGTGTCTGGGAAGCTGTGCCTTGGGTTAAAATATATCTATCCAATCTCCTAGTGCTGTATCTAAAAATATGGGAATGGCATCTCCTCTGGTCATTTTATTCACAGGCTAAGTGGAAACACTACCAACCTCAATGATGATATTGATTGTCAATTACCTCTTAATTGCTAATGTGTACACGGTACTGGCTTTGCTTAATTGATTTTTATGTAGACAATGTTGCATATTTTAGAAATATTTTTTTCCTGAATAAAGTGTTACAGATTCCTTTTTATTTCCTTTCAGACTATGTAGGCAAAATTGGTACTTGGTCTACAAATCTCCAGAAACCGTATTATACACAAGGAGTTCATATACATCTGGGTATAAACATTTCAGTTAACAGTTTTTTACTTTGGAATTATATGTACTAATGCACAGGCATACACATACACGTACATCTGTGGGTAAACATCCTTGATTTCAATCATTTTCAAAAGATTTGCTTAGTCTGAAAGGTTCTGATTGCAAATTTTATGCAGATGCACATAAATACTGCTTTGATTGGTTAAGGGATATACAGAAAAAACCTGCTGTCTCACAGCCTAAGTGTACCTTGAAGCCTTTGCTCATTCTGTAGTCTGCAGCACAGCAAAAATTCACAGACCTAAATACCAGTAGTCTTGGTATTTTCCTTTCTTCTTCATTATTTGTGCATTAGCATCTACCAGACAAAACTGACATCACTGTATATTGAACAAATACACAGCAAGAAACAAGACCTCCTGGAAAGTTACAGGTCTGCAAGACTGAATCTAAAACACAGCCCTGGCTACTAAGGAAAAAAATTAACCCTACCCCAGCTGAAACTATGACAAGATTTAAGGGTGAGATTTACAAATTGCCTAATGGAATAAGAGCCTAAAGCCTCATTTTCAGCTTGTGATGGTACCTCTGTTGGGGATTTTAAAAGGGCAAAGGAGACAAAAAAAGTAGCAAAACGCAGGGTAAAGATGGGATTAATACAATGGGTTTTACAGGTGAGGAACTGAGACACAGAGAGATTAAATGATTTGCACAGTGTCTCTCTGGGAATCTGAGCACTGCTTTTAATTCTCCTGAGTTCCACTGTCCCGCACTGCCCCCACAACCAATTCCAAGTCTTCAGAAATCCCATGCCTTATCTGAACCACCATTTGTATCACCAAGCCTTAGACATCCCACTTACATTCTCACTGTTAACATCTGCTTCACTGGGGCAGCCAAAGAGTTCCCGTCTCAGCAAATTCCCATCATATTCCAGGAATGTCAGGTAGAGGTTGCGGAAAAACTCCACATGCTTGTTTTTCACTCGCAGCTTCTTCGGTGAGTTCCAGTGAATCACCTCAGAGGGAAAAAAGAGAGAAGACATCCTGCTGTTAGAATACAGATTTGCTTTATCTGCTCTTTTTGTGTGTGCTCAGTGTGCTGCCCTCTTAAAAACAGAAGAAAAAAAATTCCCAAACTACCCAGACTTCCTGCTATCTTTTTATAGGGAAGGCTTTGCTGTGTCTTATACAAGTAACTGTACACTCTGGAGCTCATGTGCTTGGAAACTCTTCCATGGTATCACCTGCACATTCTCAACATACACTATGTTGAGAACAGCACCTTGCAAGTTCTTCCACAACTCTAATCATGGAGCTGATAGTTTATGGACTCTGCTGAAGATGGAATGACAAGGGACACAGTGATGTAGGTATTAAACATTAATCTCAGATTTCCACATGACTGTTTCTGCTAATGAAATTGATTCCCTGTTTCAGGCCAGGCAGCCTCTTTCCTGGTTAGTATTGAGAAGAAGCAACTTGAAATTAATTCCCATAACCATTTAAATAGTTCAAAAAGAACTGAATTTAATCTGTCTTCCTTTTTGCCATTGCTTCATTTAAACAAGACTGATCTCTGTTGCATTAACACAACACAGCAATGCAGTACAACTTCTCACCCTCCGAGTTCCAATTCCTACTGCTAATGGGAGATGACTGTCACAGTGGCCTAGACTTAAACTCTAATGCTGGTAAAAAGGGCCTGATCCTCATTTGCATTGAGGTAACTTTGCACTGCTGCCAGTGTGAATGGGAATGGGGCCCTAACAAAAAACCAAGAGGGAGTCAATAGTGATTTGCAGGAATGATTTCATTTTATAGAGGCTATATTTTAGACATAAGAAAGAAATCACTGAATGCTTTGTATTCAGTTTTATTCCTGTGACTTCTAAAGAGGTTAAAAATATGAGTCTCCTTTGGGAATGTTTCCAAGCTCGAAGTTCTGGAAGTTCTCTGAATCCATTAAGTTTATTGTGTGAAGACACATGCCACTCACACACAGCATAGAGCTGCAGCACCATGGTCAGCTTTGCTCTGAACATCACAGCTCAGGGAGGGAACACACTGAGCTGAAGCACAGCACACACAGCAGGAGCAGCCCAGAGAACATGAACGCAGCTCCCTTGGTGTCAGCAACACAGCTTCATGGGACCAGGGAGTTCTCTGAAACCATGGCATTTGTTGCCTAGTGAGTGAACTGGATGAGGAAAGAGCAAGACACAGCCTGAACTCTGCCTGGACTACAGCAAACAACAGGTTGCTCCACTGAGTACTTATACTGCCATAACAGCTATGGCACTCTACTCTACCTACCCAAAACCCACAAAATATCTCCTGATAAGAAAAGTTTTATCCAATACTGGGATTTCACTGCTAAGCCTACTAGGATTTCAGAAAACCACACAAGCACTTGAAGAAGAGCACCTGTAGGGAAAGAAGATAATTTCAGATACTGGCAAATTGCTTTTCCCAGTTATAGGAGAACCTTAAATAAAGATTATGATGCATCCACACATTGCATAAATTTGGGAAATTATTTGGACCAACTTAATTGGTGTAGATATTTGTCCCAGGTAATGCTACATTCTTTGCTGGTTTTACATTTGTACAGATGTTCAGAAGTGTAGCATAACTGTGCAGTAACACGTTGCTGCATCATGTGGTGAAAATATAGACCACCATATAAATGAAAAGAGCTTTGGGTAAGTAAGGACATAAACTTAAGATAACAGATTTTCTCCACTGAAAAATGGATCTTCAAAATCTCCTTTCCTTGAAAAGAACTTGACATATTTCCTCCACTGTATTTAACTGAAGCAAAAGGCATTAATGCTTGAAAAAAATCTCAGCAACTGAAACCTACCTTAGGGAAATGGGCACATGTAACAGAAGCACAGGGCTGAAGGAACCTAAAGAGCTACTTAACAGTTTTACAGGGTACCAGCATGCATTTTTACAAGCAGGCATAGAATGGAAACTGCCTGGTGGTAACTTGTACTTATTTAAGAGTGGATCAAAGAAAGCTAAGAAGGTGACAAATGGGACAAAAATACTTGTTAAGAAAAACCTTTTGTGTGCTTTCCATACTGTTCCTACTCTTCATGTGTTTCCTTTTGGATACTCACAAGCATCCTCATCTTCATAAGCATCCTAGTGCTGCTGAGCATTCTGAGCACCCAGAGACTTGGGGACCGTGAACACAGACATGGCTAATGATGATAACCTCAGAAACTCACAGGACAGGCTCCTGGGTACTGCAGGAAACTCCCATCAACACACACAGTGTCACAGCAGAGCCAGGCCTTAGCTGATGTCTCTACCCAGTTGTGTGGGAGATGATTTCAAACCCAGACAACTGCAGTTGTCAGTGCAGAGGCTCTTTGCTGCTGTGCTTCAGCATCTGTTGTGTGTGTAAGCTGGCAAGTGCCAAGGGCTTAGCTGGTGGCTCAGATCTGATCAGATTTGAAACGTGTCAGGGTGCTGCATGTACAGAGATGTCAGGAGCCTGGAGTGAGCTGCATACAGCTGAATGGAGCTGATGACTATCAAAACAAGCTGATTTTTTAATCAAAAAGGACAGCACATGGCAGTGTGTGCTAAAATGATGTGCTAAAGAACATCAAGGAACTAACTATGCAACCATCTGGATGACCCGAGGTAGAAAAACCACAAAACAGGTCTAGCAAAGAAGCAGGCTGCTTTTCAAATGTAACACAATTAAATAAATAGTATGTGATATACCAAAGCATAAAAAAGAACAGCAAGTTACAAAAAGCAACAAGACTGTTCACCCTGATATACAACACTACATCCAAAGACCATATTCTTTTTTATGTCAGCCCACAAACTCACATTCAGTTCTGGCTGTCTGATATGGTCTACTGCACCTTCAGCTACACCAGAATTTGTGCAGGCCAAGACACTCTTGTAGAAACTGTCATGGGCATCAGTGAGGAACACGATAAAGACTACACAGGTAAAAGTATGCCCACTGCATTAGAGACTTTATTGTGCACAACAGTAAATTGATTGGAGAAATAAAAAAGATCAGTTGGCAAGAGACTACAGGGAAATCAGAAGGAAAAAACCAAACAACTTTGAAGACTGTTATCTCCACATTAAAAAGAGAAAGTGAATCTAGAAACTGAAAATCTCATTACTCCAACATCCCTGTTCCAAGGCTGAATAACACCATAATACCATGTTTATTTCTTCTTCTAGTTTCTAAGTTATTTCAAAGCTGTGCTGGCTTACAGAGGAAGTTCCAGCTAGAAATATAAAATTCCACTGCCATTATCTGGGTAGACACTTCAGGATCAATGCTAGCCTTCAGGCCGACCTACAGATCTTTCCCACTCTTGATCACAGCCTCCTGAGAAGTATGAGGAAATACACTTCCTTAATCTTCATTTAGCAATTTAAGTACTGAAAGATCAGAACTTAAAATTCCACATCTATTTAACACTTGGTTAGTTGTCATTAAGCAATCTGGCACTATCCACATTTCTGTTAATACCATCCTAGTTAATCAGCAACCATTACCACTCCCTGATTACACACAGCCATCCTCCTGGAACACTTCCATACGTTTGTGGCCTAAAACAGGCTAACTGCACCCATATTTCCCATTTATCCCCCAGGTTCTGACCCAAGGCACTCAGTGAATGACACAGTGGGAACCTTGTGGACTGGCAGTGGGATCTGAGATGGGAGGGAAGAGAGGATATTTTATGCTGGGGGAGTCTAGGAACAGTTCTAAGAACAGTTATGTGGATGGAAATAAACTGAAAACAAAAATCTCAGCAAACCTCCTTACATTACCATCTGCATTTAATCTCTGGGAAGATTAAATGTTTCAAACATGATGTTCAAACCACAAAACAATAAGCATGAATACATTATTTCTATAGGTACCTTTAACCATTTTTTCCCCTGAAGCATTTTCTCTCTCAAAAATAAGTATTTAGCCAAATGTTTCCTTAACCACAATCTCTTCCATTTTGTGTCAAAAACACATCTTGATAATTTCTCACTCTGCTTCAGCCCTTCCAGAATCAGAGAGCACAGGATATCCTGTATAATGATATACCTGCTTTCCAGGCTGAAGGGAAAGAAATAAGAATAAATTAAGCTTAAATTTAAGCTTAAAGAAGTTTAATTTTGCAAGGCACTGAACAGATATCCTTAATTAAGCCCATGAGCGCTTCACAATTTAGGTAAACAAGTGGTATTTTGTAAACAGGAAGCTTTTCTGCTAAAAAAACTAGACTCCTTGCTTAGGCAACCAGACCCATCCCACTGAAATCAGTAGGAGTTAAACATTTGGCAAATCTGCACAGTAAAGCCACCTTTATATGTCACTTTAATGCCATATCAATAGGTATTTTTTGAAGCTTAAATATGCCCCAAACCACATTGCAAATATGCACCACATGTGTAACTTATGCCATGATTAGAGATGTCTGGAAACTTTTTAAACTGTGTTTTATCAGAAATGAATGGTTTAATAGAAGAACCAATTTCCTCAGAAAGCGTATACTTCATAAGAATGTCATCACAGAGATTTTAATGTGATCTTTCTAAACCATGTAAGTGGAAGACACTTGGGTTGGTTGGACATGGGACTCAAATCCCTGACTAGTTTGGTGCCCATGGTCCCAGGGATTACTTTACTGCCCTGCTTACTGCCACTGCTGTATGGCACTACATTGTGCTTTTCAAAGGTCTTTATTTGTCTTCTGAAGGATTCTTCTACTTCTTTTCCTTTGGCTCCTGTGCCAGTGTTTAATGAGAGGCCCCCTGCCTGCAAGAGCACCCCTGTACCACCATGGTGCTTCCTGTTTGGCAGGACAGAAACACCTGACTGCTCCAATGCTCGCTCAAAGGAGAAGCGTTGTCTAACTCTCTCGAGCTCTCACCCCTCTCACTGCAGCTCTTCCTTCCTTGGCATTAAAAGGTGCAGAGCTGCAGAATGCCAGAAGTGCTGCAGATTAGAGCAGAAGTGCTTGGACAGCATGGGGCAGCTCAGGGACTGGAACACAAAGAGGTGAAATGGGTCATGTCTGAGGCAGAGCTGAAATGATGTACTACAGTTATGGAAAAGAAGCTGTTTAAACTTCTGTAAGCAATACCACAAAGTCCTCCCAGTGTGGAGGACATTCCCAGGGAGGACACGGTGAATCACAGAGCACAAGTTCCCAATGAGGAATTTATGAGGTTCATTATTTATCTATCTGCTGATTTAGTATCAGCTGGATTCAAAACCAGTTTGAAAAGCCATCAATAGGTTGTAAAGCATTTTTCCATGTTAGAGTGTGTGTAAATTCTAATAATTTGATACATTCCCATTGAAGAGTCCAGCATCTGATTTCTGCGATTGTGAATTACCAGATTGTCTGCATGTAAATAGCATCTGTATCCTTGACAACCAGACTTTATGACTGACTCATTCAATGAGGTCATGATTCATTGTCAGAGGTATCAAAATTCATTACCCTCTTTCACAGTACTTTTCCTGCCATTAGGTTTGTGCCAAATCATAGTAACTGAGATTTCCTTACAGACATGAACAAAGTACTAACCAAGAAGCAAGCAAAAGCAGGGACTAATCCAGCAAAAGCAATACATAAATGAACCTCACATTCACACCAATCCCCAATGAAAAGAAAAAAAATCAGTTAAATGGATAGAGATGCAATTTGACACGATCTAAAAAGAGAAAAAGGTGATTAGAATCCTCTTCAGGAAATATGAAATATTCAACTGCTCCCTCAGCCTTGCACAAATGTGAAGAAAGCAGCAAAGAAGTGTCTGGACACACATGCACACAGAGATCCCTGAACAGCCCTGGGGGTACAAGTTTACTTGACACAATGCTGTGTATAAGAGATGACAAATCCTCAACTCCCATGGACTTTGAGGACAGATGGAATCAAATCAACACCTTTCCACTCTGACAGGAGAAATGCACTCTGTTTGGGCTGAGGAATCCTTGACTGGGTCAGCTTCATCTTTGAATTTAAATCTCTCCATTCACTTCGTTCTTTCCTATGCTATTCTTCTTTATCCCCCAGTGCAAACTTCGAAATCTGTCTTTCTTTCCCTCTTACCCTGGAGGTTTGTTTTACCTTGTTTCTCATTCCAGTCTTACCACGCAATACAGAATGTGCCAAATCTGTTGTGTTGCACCATTTATATTAAATGCCATGGAACTGACTAACTTGGGTGACTTTAAGAGTGAAATTTTTAACTTGGGGTAATGACATTTGTTAATTTTTTGTGAGACTCATATACCTAACCACCTGGTTTCTTTACAGAACTAGAATTTTGATAATTTTCATAATCCAAATTTACAACTTTAATTGGTCTATGCCTTTTTAAATTTTTATTAATTGTATGAAGAATTTTAAACAGTGCTGCCCGAGGGCCAGTTCTTTAACTGCTCAATATGGGAAAAGCTTTATTGAAACCATGGGGTTTTATGTGCACTAGATAAGGCTCTGGCCTCTCTTTCAAGGCAAAGAATTTCAGCCCTAATTTAGTATGTAGGGGATAATTTTAGTAGTGTGAATAAGTCCAGCTTAGCTCAAGAAATTGCTTATGTGTCTGCCCCCCTTGTTGAGTTAAAATACCTCAGACTAGAAGATCAGTGAAGAGTATTACACATCTTAGACTTCACTGCCTATGCTGTAATGGAACTGACAGTGTGACACAATATACAGTAATAAACAACCAAACCTGAATTACAGTTGTAAAGATAAATCTGTTAATTGACAAGAAAGAAAGATTTTCTTTGTTTTTAAAATACTTCTGTCATATGCTTACTTGCAGGTGTTATAAAGAAATTACATGTCCCACACCTGAAGCAGATTAGTAAATACTGGACTCAGAAGATCAGACATCTGCTCTGAGATGAGCTCCACCAGCCTCCAAACCCACTCATAAAGATGACACTTTGGCTGCCTAAATCGAGATTACAGCAACCTTGAAAGCACCTTACAGCTATCCTGCCTGCCCATCAGCTGCCTTGCCAAGAGGACATCTCTTGTAGGTCTGTGTTTTATCTGCCACTCCTAGATGGATACTGCAGAGTCCCTATGGTGACTCAAACCATGTTTAGACAATGGAAACAAACCCTTGATCCTTGTTACCAGCTTCAGAATCTTTTCCTCATGTAAATGGCAGTGTCTTTACCTTGTGCTGAGTCCAATCGGACTGTCTCAATTACATAAATTAATCTCAGCCTCTAATTCACAGCAAAATACTGTGGTATGTCACAGGTGGGAGGTGTATTTTCCTGAAGTACATCTTTTAGGAAACATTTTCCCCGTTACACATCTTTCTTTTGGTTTCAGGCCCTGCAATCACTATCATATATGATTCTCAATATGAATGCAGTACTAAAATCTCTACCAGCACTTTGTTTCAAGGCATAAAACCATGAAGCTTTTAAAGTGCCTGTGTTGATCCTGCTCTACAAACAGGTGATGTAAATGGTGATATAAACCATTTAGTGACTAGTGTACACACACTACAGTGATTTAACTTTAAAAACTGTCCTCTATGGATCACACCTGAATAGACAGTTGTAAGTAAGTAAGAATACTTAATATATGAAATTCAGTCAGTGATGGCCAATTTTGACAGGTCAGTTAACCCATGTAGAAGAACTTTTGTCTCTTGGAAGCACAGCTTTTTCAATCAGTGTGTTGAGAGTGATTGATTTTCTATATTCATCCTGCATCTGGTGTTCGTATTGAACACTCCTGCTGTTACTCCACCAATTGCTACAAGGGAAATCTTGGTTAGATTTAGGCTATATGTTGTACAAAAAGGGTGGCCAAACTCTAGAACATGGGGCCAGGGAGCATGTGAAACCTCAGTGTTTGGAGACTCGACGCTCATCTGTACAAGGTGCTGAGCAACTGGGTCTGCGTTGGTCCTGCATTAAATGAGTTTGGATGGTGTCCAGAGAGCCCCTGCAATCCCTTCCATCCTTTTGTGCCTTTTTTTTTAGACCTCATTTACATTCTCAAAACAGAAGACCAAATATACAAACCTTAACTGAATTCTAAAATCAGTCACTGAAAACTACCTAATATTTACTCTGTTCTGATGCCACTAGTCCGCTCTGATAGAATCTACTGCTGCACAATCTTACTCTACACCTGGACAAAGCTCTTCAAGCTTCAATTCTGAGCTTCCTGCATGCTTGAGTCTCTGAGTCCAGTCTTTCAAAATGGCCACAGCACAATTGATGTCTATTTACTCATATCTGTTATAATTCATCCTGCTTTTATACTCTACTTGTTAATAGTGAAAAATATGCTATTACACTGACATTATAGCTTCATTTTATTGAATTAATAGGTTTTTACTCAGCCTTCTTTTCTTCAGGACAAAACATGGAAAAATGAGTGGCAACATGACTGGGTAAAGTGTATGCAAAGGCTAAATATGAAGTGAGCAAGGTCTTTACATTTCTCCCTAACGCACAGGGAGAAATCCTCCCTGAATGTCACTCCATTAAGTGATGTTCAATAAAGAGTTTCAAGCTTGTCCAGTACAAAAAGGGAAGGTTTTGTATTCTTTGTCTAGGAAGAGCTAAGACTGGGAAAGCAATAAGAATTCAGTAGTAAGCTGTACTGGCATAGGTGGCAGGTAAAGAATGTAAGAAGGCAAAGCCCTTCTTTAACACCTTGCCAAATCCCAAAGCAGCATCTATATTGAATTTTCTCTTAGTAGTCAAAATGCACAAAACCAAAGTCACACTTTCTTTCCCCATCTGGGTGTCTTTATAAAACATATGTGTTAGCTTCCCCCCTAGTTAAGGCAGTTCATCTTTTTCTGACAGCAATCCCGCATTCTCTGTCCCAAAGGACACTACCCTTCCAACCTCCTGTGCAACATACCTTCAGGTCAGATACATCTCTGTAGCACTGCTCAGAACGGGTGTGATCAGAAAGCTGCACATTCCAGAAACATGGGAGCTGGTAGACAAGGAAGGGATTTTGTTTGATGACTGCATTGAAGATATCCTAGCAGAAAAAAAACAAAACAGAGAAACATTTGTGTTTGTTGTTTCTACTGCGTGAGGTGATCTCAACTTCTGCCCCAGCTGACTCTCCTTCTCCCCTTCACAGGCAGAAATTCCAATGGTGATAAAAGGTGGAGTCTGTAAACCTTTCTCCATAATTCTGTTGCCTTGGAGGGTGATGTTAATCTAAGGGATGATATATAGATCCAGACAAGAGGAACAAGCTCTCCTGACGCACAGAGCTAAGGGACTACAGTAAAGTTTTCTAACATTCATCTTGTACTGCTGGCATGAGGTGTGGCTCCTGTTCTAGTCACCAGGGAGAGTAACAGGCAGTAAAAGACACAGTGCCAGCTGGTACTGATTACTGCACCACTTTTTAACAAAGGGGAGGAAAGCGAATCTGGCAGCTAAATTGGTTCAAGGTGAATGACTAGACGTGACTTTAGCTAGCACTTTATTGTTGCAACAAGTACTCCAGGTACTTTATGGATAAGGCATGTAGGACAGATTGCAGAGCCGCCTACACCATGAGGGACAGAAAGTGTTTTGCCCCTAAGCAGCCATTCTGTTGGAGAAGTATGTTAAAAGGACAATCTGAGGGTAAGGTATTAAGGAGAAGACACAAGCAGCCCTCCCCTGCTCTGCAAAATTCTGCCCCATGCAGGTATTAGACAGCAACTCAGGATCTGACTGAAAAAACAGTGAAGTTGCAAGAATTTTTTTAATGATCCTCAGGAGTTGTTGGATCACCCTGCAGAGATGCTGTACAAAGTGCACACCTCCATGTACACAATAAGGAGCGTGTCTCCTTTGTGGTGACTGGTCAGGAGCCAGAGGTAACTCAGAAGGAGAACAAATATCTAAATACGATGCTGGACTGAGTTAACATGTTCAAGCTGTTGAGCAAGAATTATTGGTTCAGGTCTAGTAGTATGTTAACAGCGTTTCTGGGTTTAAACTGAGAGCTGGCAAGAAGCACAAATTGAAAAACTATTTCTATGTTTAGGCACACTATTTCTTCTCTAGGCCTCAGTTTCCTATCTGTAGCAGGGAGACAGCAGCACTTTTGTCTTTACAGGGCTGCTGTGGCAAGGAGTACATTAAAAGACATCTGGGACTCATCTGCCAGAAACAGTAAAGAAATATCAGGAGACTTAAAACTAAAGTCTGATTAGACAATAACCAGTGGGGAAAGACACAGTTTATTTGGACTTCTGGTGCCTGGAGAGTTCTGTGTTAAAGAAGGGAGAACAGAAAATGAAAGCTTGAAAACCCCTTTTGTCCCTCTTATGAATCATCTGAGCAGAGGAGGTAAAAATGCCAGTGTTGTAAGAGGAATCAAACTTTGTGACTAAATCTCCATTCTCTTCCACATTTTGCCCAGAATGATTCAACAGATGTTGACTACAGGCACAACAGCTTTCCCTTGCCTTTTCCCACATCTCATCCTCTCTCTACTTCTTTCCTTCCCCAACCCATGGCTCAGTGCTTGTCCTGCAGTCCTGCAATGTCCTACTCACCTGGTCAGCCAGTGAAGTGGACAGCATGCTCATCAGCTCCCGCTCCGCCGTCAGTCTCCACATCTGCTCCCACTTCATCTTCCGCAATTTATCGAGGAGCAGCAAGATCACCCCTGAAGGGAAACATGGGGCAGAGACAAAGGGAACCCATGATGTCATGTACCTGCCAAGGCCCACCCTGCCCATGTGCTGATTCAGCAGCTAAAACACGACATGAAGTTATCTGACACATCTGATTGCAATCCTTGAAACTTCTCTGAGAAACAGATTATCAGTGCTGGTTACAACCTAGACCTCGAGAGGGCCAGCCATTAAGGCACCAAGTCTGCACAGAACAGGATCCTCAAATGGGAAATTTTAAGTTGGAAGAAAGGTACCTCAACATGCATTGTATTCCTCAGTTGCTTTTTGGCTGGCCAAAATTCCTAGTGCACAAGAAGGGAAAACAGCAGAAGCAATGATGCTGGATTGAAACATCAGCAAAACCTTTCCTACAGTGTCTTAGAAAAATCTGCTTGAAAAATGAATTTGGAAAGGCTTAGATAAGAGTGCTGTCATGGGGAATGAATGCAGACTGAAGGACCACAAAGAAGGAGTACAGATAAACAGCAGCCTTGCAGGCTGACAGAAACCACCTAGTAAAATCAATGATGGGTTCTGTGTTGTTTCATATCTTCATTAGTGGAGGGAGGAAGTAAACAGAACAGTAACGACATCTGCAAATGACATTTAACAAGAGGTCTTACAAAAAAATATCACGGCAACTGTAGAGAACCATAGCAGCTACACAGAAGAATACGAAATGACAAAAAGCAGGCACAGGGAAAAGCTGCCTCAGGGAGTCCAAGTTGATAAAACTAAAAGTAATGAGAAAAAGAAAGGAAATGTAGTCTGAATGCTTAAGAAAAACTCTCCTAAAACCGCTGCGGTGAAATAACTAAAAATGGCAGATAAACTACTTTATTTCATGAGTCTTTCCAAATCAGACCACACCAGGATTAGAAAATGTACTTGGAAAAGTGCTGCTCTGGTTGGGAGAGGACATAGGTGGTTTCAGTTACTTCCTATATTTAGTTTCTATGACATGGCAAGTTTCTTTCTAGTAAAACCTGGCACTGCTATGAATAAAAAGCAAACCTCTTCTGGCCATGCATTTGGTGGCCTATTTTAGTTATGTTTTCTGTTTAGTCCATCTGGTTCCCAAGGATGCTGGAACCTGTGATGGAGGGATCCCCTTTCATCTTCAGTCAACCTTTCTGCTTCCAGCAGTTGGATTGCAAAGGGACACACTGTCACAGCATGCTACAGTCTATTTATGCCAGTGTGTTTGTCTTCTCTCCAGCATAAGGAAAGTCTATTTTGGAGTATGTAATGTGCATGCATGAGCTTCTAAGAGAGCATTATGCATTGTCTGAATCAGTGTGAAAGAGGTTCCTTGTGCTGCAGCAATAAACTGGGTGGGAGATCACCTCTCTGGGAGAGGATTTTTTCCAGCTGGAAAGAACTGTCAGCTTTGCAGTGAAATGCAACTGAGAAGGTTCTTTATTAAGAAAAATAAAGAATAATGGTAAGATTCAGTTAACTGCAATAAGATAGTTTTTATAATTCATAGACAATAGGCCAATTTTTCTTAATTTCTCTAAGCCTCCTGTCTGAGGAAGAAAAGGGTAAATATTTTAATATGTGCAGTATTCTCTTTTTTTTTGACTTCCACTTTTATGCTAGCAGCAGATTATGGCATTGCAGCTAACAAGATTATGCTGTCCTGAGGGGCTATCATGGTAACATCTGAGAGTGGAAGAGGCAGATGGAGTGAAAAAACTGGAATATATGTGAGAAAGGATGTACTAAATTATAATGCAATCATGGCTACTGAAAATTTTCACAAAGTTTTACTGTTTCACCATCAAAACTAATTTCAGTGTGACTTCTATTTTAATTCACCTGTAGGCTTGAGTTTAACACCTTTGTACAGTTGCTATTTAGGCTTCTAATTTACTGCTGCCGGAGAATACTTATAGCAAGTTTAAATATTTACTCATTAGTATTAGTGAAAATAAGATATTTCTACTAAGAGGAGAATTTAATACTACTCAGTGTTATTGAGTCCAACAGCAAAGCAAAAGCATGTGTTTTGGGAACTTTTAAAACAGTTCACACAGAAGAAAAATTAGGTTTTTTTCAGAACCGTGAACTTCAGGTTCTCCTCTATATTGTTGTGCTGTCAAAAGCAAACAAGTAACAAATGAACTAACTTCAATCTACACAATTAGTGTGCAGGCAAAGTGTCTGAAATAAGGAAAGGAAAATATTTGCCTCAGGAACCGCTTCCCTCAGAGTCAAATTGAGTGAAATCTCAGACTAAATTCAAGATGACATACAGCTGAACATAAGGGGAAAAGGGACTCACTCTCATCTGCTGTGCTGGGAGAAGAAGAGACTGGAGGAAAAACAAGAAATGAAAGGAATATTTTATTAACATCTGGCCCCAGGCAGCAGGGCTTCTGATTTTTTGAGAAGTGCAGCATCTTCCTGCCTTAACCTACCTGAGAAAAACAGAAGGAAAGCTTGGCAGCAAACAAAGAACAAGAGAAAAGTGGCAACCCAAACATCTCATGAGTATTAAACAAATTATGATCGGCCACAGAACACCCTATTTTCTTTGTCCTGAGGAAATAGTTCAGGCATATCCAGAGATGTAAATATCTCAAAGATCTAGGAGAAAAAGAATGCTTTATTACTAAATTTGTGGAAAACATCCTCGTCTTGTTATAACTTGAATGGCATTTCTCTCCTGCTGCTTGATGAGATTTTGCTTGAACTACCAAAATTTGACAGATTCTGAACTGCTCAAACAGGCAAACAAACAAGAAAGCAAACAAACAAACAAAGCAGTTTCTCAAAAATGTCATTTAAGGACACACTAAAAACACAGCTCCAAAAGCAAAAAAAACCACCAAACACCTCCCCCTAAGAACAAAAAAAAATATACTGGTGAATAAATTGAATAAAACAGGGCAATAAAGCTGAATTAACATATTAGGATTAAAATGTTTCAGGTGGAAAGCACTGCATAATTTTTTTGGTACATTTTAGAACTCAATTTACTTGAAAATAATTTTATTCTCAAAATTGATACAAATTAAAAATGTTATTGAAAATTATTATAAGATCTGAAAAGGAAAATAAATTTTCTATTTATTTAAACTAACCAAAGTTTGGGAGTCATCTTTTCCATCCTTTTCCCATTTTTTGATTCAATCGAAAACAACTTTTTTGTTCTTCCAATGTTTTCACTAAGCAATGGTTTCCAGACATGCTTTAAGACATGTCAGCAAATTTGTTCTTTTTTGTTTGCTTTTGTTAATCTGCTCCAGTACACAATATTTTATTTCATTTTTCTGAACAGTAAATTGAAAGTCTGCAGAAAGATCAGCCATTTCCCTTGGAATACTACCAAGCATCCCCTTCTCTTGCTTCTGGAACAAAGACAATGGCTCCTCCTGAAATTCAGAGAGGAACATATAGTAGAGCTGGAAGCAATAAACAACATTTTAAGACAGAACAGAATCACTTAGAGATGTTATAGTGAAACTGGACAAGCTTTCAAACTCAATCAATTTATTACAATGGGCCTTTTAAGGTGCCTGAAAATACTACTCAGTGCTGTGGGAGAAGAAAATGTAGTTCCTAAGAAACCATTTTATATAGGATCTTGGCTGTTCCTTTTGGGTGGAACAGGATGTTTTTGTGAGCCTTTGAGGCAATGCCATCTTATATGAGCAGCACCTCATCTATCCCTGTCAGGTTTTTAAAAATTCTTCTTGAAATTAGGCCTGCAACAGTGAACCAGCTAGACAAACAACAAGTAGATATCATCGTAATATCCAAAACAGATAGGTAAGACATGCTTCAAAATACATCATAAAGCAATAGTGAGTTTTAAAAAAATGGCTGGGATTTTGCTATAGCTCAGCAGCACACTGAAGACCACACACCAAACCACTGAGTCTGAGAGAAATAATGAACTTACTGAGCCTGTAAGAAATAATGTTTAAAAGGCCTGAAATTATTCAGATTTTGTAATACATATCTGAGTCAGACATTTAGGGCATGCTTTGTGAAAGAGATGTGGCACCAAAAATTTGAATGCATAGGAGCTATGGAAGAGCCTTGTAGCTCTGCTGTCCTAGGAGATGCTCCATGATAGTGCTGACTGCTGAGTACTCTAGCAAATACTTGCAACTTCTTTTAATTCTGATTGTACCTAAAGTCAATGGAAACTGTCCCAGTGCATAATGCTAGGAATGTGACTGTGCCTTGCTGGTCAGGGCTCCAATGACCAGTTTTGTTAAGGACTGCATTTGGAATCCACTGAGCCACAGCTTCACACCACTGACTGTGGCCTCTGTTTTCCACCCACAGCACCAAGAGCAAACAGAAAAACACAAGTGTATGGCTTTTAGGGATTAAAACATTAAATTAAATTAAAGCTATAATTCCAAAACAAGCCACTGCACACATTTTAAAATTTACGTCTTTGTGTGGTTGAAATTCCCAGCATTTATCTCACTTGGTTTACAGACTATCTGTTGCTCATAATTTGACCAGCCATATCATTAATGTAATAAAGCCATATTTTTCTACAGCTTTTAATATGATGTGACTGAAGGACTGTCATTCTAGCACATTTCTGGAGCACCCTGATACATTATTTAACCATGAACTTACATGTTCCAGCCTTCTTTTCTCAAAAAAGCTTTTCACCATCTAAAATACCCAAACTAATACAAACTTGCAGGGATGTACAATGTGTTCATTGAGAATAAGTGATGATTCCACGTTGGAACTTTTCTCTCACAAAACTGAACAGGGCTGAGAAGCTGTTTTGAAACAAAGTGTGTGTCCCTCCAGGCACAGTGACACAATGCAATAGTCCTTGTTCTCTGCACATGTATTAAAAGTGAAGTTGTCATAGGGCACATTTTGAAATGTTGTGCAGTCACTCTGTTGGGAGGCTGGTTCCTCCTGAAGCATTATAAGCATTTTGCTTATACTTCCTGATGACCATTTAATGAAATAGAAGACTTTTACTGTATTTATGCTCTTCTTT